TGTACTGCCGTTGGTTGTTTGGCTTTTCCTGTGCACGTAAGCTGCCTGTTACTCCTCCTCCTTCCTAGACCCCTCCTCTAAGTTCATATTTTTTTTTCTTCCTAACAGCTGTGCAGACTTCACTCCACACCATCCCCGGCTGCCTAGAGCCCAGGGAATTCATGTTGGATTTGGACCATCACTGGCTCATGCAAACACACTTTGGCAATGAATGTGAATGTGCAGGGCTGACACCATGTGCTTAGGCATTCAGAGCTGTGTAGTCATGTTGGTAGGTAGGTGGAAGAATACTATATTTCATGTCAGCCTTCCACTGGGTCTGGCTCTGCCCCATGACCCCCAGGGCAACCCAAAGACATAAATTGAAGAGCCCACAATGCCACCAACACCTTCCCCCATCATTCCTGTTTTTGTCCTTGCTCCAGACAGGTCCCATGGGGGACGGTTTTGTTTGTGGGTGTGTTCCCTCGCCACATCCCTCCCTGTTTCAGCTTCTCCAGGGGAACAATTCTTTAATGAATTTAAAACATTGGTTATTGAGCTTGTATTCCACAGATGTATGGTGTGTGGTTTTTTTTTTTTAACTCCCTTCTCTTCCCCTACCCCTTGTGCTACCTTGATGTGCACTTCAAGTATGGCTAGCTAGTGTATGAATATTAAATTAAAATACAAAGATGTTAATTGTATCTGTCATAAAAATATTACTTTTATTAAAGTGCTAGGAGAAGACGTTCCATCATTGTATTTTTCTCATGACTCTTCTATATCGGAACTCAAAGTGAGAGCGGGAGGGGAGGTGCAGTGTCGACCAAGTCCAATCAGATAGCCATGTGCAAAGCAATTCTATTAGTCTAATATGTTCTCAACCACTTTGCAAGCATGTATACAGCAGGGGAGGGCAGAAGAACTACTTTGTCGATTTTTGCCTTTGTTCTTCTAATGTCCTTTCAGTATTAGAGGCATTGAAGTGGCCATTATGTAATGATCTGTGCCATGAGCAGCAAGCTTGCATTCCTGACCATGAGGTGTGATGAGAATTTGTTTTAAATAAGTATGGCTCGACAGAATATTTTTCTTAGAATAGTCCACATGCATATATTTCAGCTGTGTATTTAGCAGGTGTTTAACTTTAAATCATAAACGTTTCCAGGAAGTGCATGTTGCATTAATCCTAGTGTTTGTTTGGCATGTGGGGGTTTTTTATTTTTTTAATTCAATTTTATCTTATTTTTTTTTATTTAAGGTGACGTAAAGTTTGACAATGGGAGGAGGTGAAAGATTTAACATTCCTATTCAACAGCATAGGCTTAGTCTCGGCAAACAGAACAACCGGCAAAAATTAGTAGAGCGGAACAATCAGAAAATCAATACTTCTCATGGAAAAGACAGAGGTCGTGGTCCATCTGGCTTTGCATGGCAGGCCATGCAAAACAGAGCAAATAATAATCGTTCCTCAAACCAGAACTGGTTTTCGGGTTTCCCTGGGCCGAATAACTTCTTAAATTGTGATGAAAACCAGAATTATGCCGGTGCCAAATTCAGTGAGCCACCATCACCAAGTGTTCTTCCAAAGCCACCAAGCCACTGGGTACATCTGACGTGTAGTCCTGCCGACAAAGAATTCATGTCTTTCCAACTGAAGACACTGCTGAAGGTCCAGGCCTAAGAAGCCTGGGAAAAATCAATTGAGCAGATACAGGCCATTACCGAGTTGCAAGTTGAAGACTGTTTCTTTTTCGCTTCTTCAGCTATTAATGTATCATAAGGCACATAAACCAGTATGAGATGGATCCGCTCTGGCTAAAGTCACTCAGGAGCTAGACTGAACTTAATGTGAGGAGACACTTCTGTGAAGACTCCTGCATCTGAAGCACTTTTTTTTTCACAGCATCAATTGTGCGTATTGCACTGCATTTTCTTGTTTCACCCCCTAACCAAATTAAGTATATACAATACTTTGCACTTGAAGTGAACTGGTGGGTGCATCTAAAGCTGGTTTGGAACATGTAGCATTCTCCAGCTAGTCTTTACCTGTACTTTACCTTTTTCTTGTATATTTTTAATTTGCTTGTGCTGTGATGACTCTTGTGTACATCATATTAGAACTTCTTCCTTTTTTTTCTCTTTCCTCTTTCTTGGAAGCCTTAGCTGACCTGTCTTGAATTAGTCTAGCATAACTGGGGTAGATGCTTTAGTCCTGTGCACCTATTTTGTTTTTTAGTTTAAAAGCAATCCTGCATAGCAGCGATCCAACTTTCAAAGCAACTACAGGCTTGTTTTTTTTTCTTCACCATTTCAATAGTAGGAGGATGGGTGTGCAGACCGATCCTTCCAACACTGGTTTATAAGTTAAGTATATTACTTTTATTTAAATATGTGCCAACTAACACTGCATGTTTGCACTGCCAGGGACTGCCAAGTATGACGTCTTTATAATATGTGGCCTTGAGTAATATGTGCCCCCACACTAAAATTTAGCCTTTAGTAAGTCGTCTGAACCACTCTTAAATATAAGCTAATCTGCTGTATATAAAGACCACCCCCCTATGTCAGATGTGTACCACTCTACTGTAGAAGAGGTGAACCTCTGTACAATAGGCAAGGCCAATATACTGTTTTTAGCTTGTGGGTTATTTTTTTTGTTTTACGTGACTTAAAGCAGACCTTGTATCCAGCACAAATCTTAGGACTAAAGGAGAACCATGGCATATACCTCATAAGGGAGAGCTAAACTCAGCCCCCTTAGATTGGCCCTGTTTAATGTTCTCAATGCTGAACTAAAGGGCACAGGCCATTCTACAAAAGTGTTTTCAGATAGTTTTGTAGGACTAAGCTTTCCTAGCATGCTGGGAATGCATGCCTTTACTCTTCTGTTTATACTCAGATTGCAGAGCAGGCCCCTAGCACTTCAACATTCTGAACTGATTTCAGTGTGGCCTAGAGAGCATAGCCATTTTTTTGGTCTGCTTTAAAATCTGTTTTGGCAGTGTCTGTCTATTAGCATTGCTGCTGTATAGTGAGTGTATAGCTTTTAGCCTAAATGTGAGATGTCCACTCTTCAACTTGCCACTCTGTAATCGTCTTCAACCTAGTATGCGATGAATGGAACTTTGAAGTTCTGTAAATAACTGTAAAAGTTGTAGCATATGTAAATGAACGCAGGGAAATCCTGCACAGATAAAGTATTTTTTAGTACAAACTGCTGAATGTAGTCAGGCACAAGCTGTGACTTCACATAATGAATATTTTGTTAAAGATGGAAAAAAACCACATACGTATGTGTGTGTGAATGAGTGTAGCCTTTGCACAAAGTGCCAGTATAAATATGTACACATTCTCGTGTTCGCAGTTGTAACTGGTTCTATAGTGGGATTGGTGCAAATGAAGCAATGAATGCATTTTATATAATAAAAACAAAAAAACTAAAAAAAAAAGCAGCTGCTAAAACCTGTTGACAACACATTGTTTTTGTATAAATAGATGTATTTTTTGATATTTTCAGGCTTGAGCTATCCCACAGCTCAGTCTGACGGTGAAGATGTGTACTGTATTGGGCGTATGTATGAATTGTAGCTCAAATAGCATATAAGGAACTGTGTTGCACTGTATGGGCTTTCATTCCTTGGTTTAGCAGTATTCCAAACCCATGTTCAGGAGTATACTTATTTGACATCAAACATGAATGAAGACATCTGCAAAGTGGAATAATCGTAACAAGCCCAATTGGACTGCGATAGTACTTTTTGACAACAGCCTTACCTCTTTCCATCCTGGATTCCTGTTCTAAAGACTGGACATTCCTATATAAACGGGTTTCATTCTTTTTAAGATGACACAATCTTACAAGTTTGTACCTATTCCTAAGTGAATGTCTGAAAGCTGCACTGTGCATTTTGTCAGATGTTCTTATACGGTTTTGTATTCACTTCCGTGTTTACCTAAAATATCAGTTGGCTGAAAAAGCTCCTCCTAGATGCATGAGCATCTGTAACAAGTTTACACGCATGGGCAGCTGTGGAACCTTCAATGTTAATGCTCTTATTAATGGACCTGAACCTTGCACAGATATATGAAAGCTGTGGATGTTGCCGGTCTTCTGCATGAAAGGTAGCAGCGCAATGTTCCAGATGGTATTTACATATCTATGAAATTTGTTTTGAATGGAAATGATCACGGGGAAGAAATTTGGCACCATTTATTTACACTGTAAGTGTGCTGGATAATTTTACTTTTAGCCCAAAGTAAATCCTCATCTAGGCATTCAGTTTACTGCCCCAAGGTGCACCACTGCACCTTTTTTTTTAAACAAAATACCACTTGATCATTCAAGGGTGGTTATTTTAGACAGCCATAGTGCCTAAGCTATTTGTTGTCGAATCCTAAATATGTATACTCTGTGGTCCGTGTGGATGCACTCTTGAAGCTGCAAAGTGTGAATACTGACAATCTTTAACCCTTTTGAGTCAAGTAGACGGCTGTCTGCTTGTTAATGCAAGTAAGCTATGTTCCTGTATAGTACCTCCAATATTGACCGATAATATCCTAAAGAGTCCAACATTTCTTCCCACAGGCATGTTATGTTTCGTACACAGTATTTGCGTTCATTTCCATTTAAAACATCAATGTCTGTCCTGTCACTAGGATATATATTCTCTTCTGGGCAAGCATTTCTTGAATACTGCTGTGCTGTATTCATTTGTGTTGAAATGGTATCAATGTGTGATTTTTGAATGTAAGAATCATCTATTTATACATCAAGAATGTGTCAGCAGCACTTAATGATACACAATCTGTGAAATTATGGAATTTCTTAACTTACAATTGGCGGCGTTTCCCAAATTTTTACAACTTTGTCCCCCAGAAAACTTTGTATGTGCCCCAAACAGAATTTGGCTTAACTAAACTTTTTACTAAGGTAAATGTGTATTAATACACACACAATTTGAAAGAAAAAAAAAGATGAAATAAATTACGTGACCCCCTAAATCTTGTCTTTGTGGTGTTTTATAATGATGGGTGTGTATTTTTGCTTTCTTAACCCTTGTAGCCAACCAGGTAAAGTATATCTAAACCTAAGAACAATTTCCATTGCAGATTATCATTCCCCCGATGTGGTTGTATTAGTTAATTGTAAGGTAGTTTTTTATTTTTTAAATTCTGAATGACTTGGTGATTCTCCCAGAAACGCACTTATCCTTGGGTGACAACACTTACTCCATGTTCTGTATAGAAGGGCAATGTTGTCACCCTAGACTGATCACTCCTAGTTTGGGCTAAAATGTGACCCCACTATAACATAAAGGGAGGTGTTCTCCGTGTGAGCTAGACGGGACCGATAATATTGCGTGAGATTCTATGCAGTATGTGAACAAAAAGTTTGGATCTCTTGTGTTTCCGGCAGGATCAAGGGTTCTAATAGATCCAACAAGACCCTTTTTAGTGGTGTATTTAACAGACCAAAAGGAAGAAAATGGAAGTTTACTGTTGGGGGTTTCATCCACTTTAGGTCAGGCATTGAATAAGTGACTTGTGAGAAAGATGTGGCTAACCTCTCCTCTTATTTGCGCAGCGTATATATGCAAAAACAGAATGGAACCGAGATGTGTCTGGGCAGAGGTTTTCTGTGCATACGCATGTTTTGCGTGTGTATGTGCGTACAGTTCATAAACATTTCCATAAGGAATTATGCATTCTGGGAATGCGAATAGTGCATGTATAGACGTGTATATACAATTTTGCTTGCGTTGTGTGTAAATGAGGCCATCAAGCTTTCAGTTTCTCACCCAGAACAGGAAGAGATGAGGCATTCTGACTCGTTTACAAGAATGCTTGTTCTGGATCTGTGACTCCACATATTGAAACCAGAAAAAAAGCCCAGCAATAGCGCCTCCCATACTTTTTCTCCGTCAATTTTTTTTATGATGCAGTTGGTTTAAGTAAAGGGTAGATGGATGACTTGGGCCTAGTCTAGAAGTGATTAATCTTTCAGTGGCAGGAAATTGCGTTCACCCACCGAGCTAGTGATGATGAGTCGTTTATTGGCTTTTGCGCATGGCACATTAAAACGAGGCAAGTGCCAGCCCATTGCTTGTCTTAACCTTCTTGGCAGTATTCCTGAGTGTGGCTCGGGGTTAATTTTCAGCACCAATAGCGGTATCCCTGAGCCACACTCCGGATTGCACAAAAGTGTCACCTTATCCCTACGAGCCCGCGGTGTCCTGCTGTGTGCGCCTGGCTGATGCCGGCATCTGACTTTCAGTTTCGTTTTTGGTGTCACAGTGGGGGGCGGAGCCGGTGGGAAATTCAAAAGTGAAAACATGCAATATAGAATGTAATCTGCTATAATGACATTTCTGTATCAAACCATTTCACTTCTGTTTTGTCCAGTACCTTGCCTGCTTTTTTTTTTACTGTTTTCTACCTGGAAACTTGATTGAGAACCAAAAAAGTGTCCCTTTAGGTCAAAAGTGGTTTTAGACCAGGTAGAAAACAGCGATAGTAAATTAGAATGACTTGCAGAATTGAGTGATAGCGATTCGTTGGGAAATTAATCAGACACCGAAAGTGACGACAGCGACTATTCTGCGACCGAGCTCAGTGATGTGCGAACTTGGTACTCTATTGACTGTGGCACGGATCACACACCGCCCCCAGAAGTCCCATTTACTGGACCATTTATTTTTTTTTAAACAATGTACGGCTTTGGTATGCAAAAATACTGCATAATCAGACCGCCAGGGAGGTTTAAAACAACTTGTCATGAAAGTTGTGGGGTCTGTGCATGCTGACCCTCCTCTGAAAATGCCTTATCTGCATGCTTTTCCAAGTCTATGATTGCATATTAAGAGGATAAGTATGGCTGCCTTCATTCTCCAAATCGTGGTATGTAGTCGTCCTCTTCAACTGCTTGGATGTTGTGTAGGTGGGATAGAAAACCCTATTTCTTCGCTCAGAGATGGACCCCCACCATATCTATTTAGTATATTAGTCAAATAAACATTTTACAATAGCTTAAAATGAAGTTAAGTGAACAAAAAAAAATGTAAAGTTTCCCCCCAAATTTTTTTTTAAGTTACACAAAAAAGAATTAAT